AACTAGATCTTGTGCGCACCGAGGTGTGGGGGCATTCCCCAGTGACATCTTTTGGAGGCTCTCGCTATTACGTCACATTCATAGATGATCACAGCAGAAAGGTATGGGTTTACTTTCTGAAACATAAATGTGATGTATTTTCTGTGTTCAAAACTTGGAAGACCATGGTTGAAACAGAGACACATATAAAACTGAAATGTTTGAGATTTGATAATGGTGGTGAGTACATCGAGGGTGGGTTCAAGAGTGTGTTCAAGGAGTACTGTGCAGCTCAGGGTATCAGAATGCAAAAGACCATTTCGTGGATACCGCAGCAAAATAGAGTTGCAGAACGCATGAACAAGACCATCAATGAGCGCGCTAGAAGTATGAGATTGCACGTCGGACTACCACCAACCTTCTGGGCAGATGCGGTCAGCACTGCAGTTTATTTGATCAACAGAGGATCATCCGTCTCATTAGACTGTAAATTATCTGATGAGGTTTGGAGCGGCAAAGAGGTCAAATTTTCCCATCTTAAGACTTTTAGTTGTCTTTCTTATATTTTAATCAATCTTGATGAGCGTAGCAAGCTTGAGGCCAAGTCAAAGAAATGTTATTTCATTGGCTATGGAGACGAAACATTTGGTTATCGTTTCTAGGATGATCAGGATCGGAATTAGAAATGTGATTTTCAATGAGAATATGATGTACAAAGACAAAGCCGATACAAATTTTGGAGTAGCTCCTCAGGAGTCAGAGTTCGTGGAGTTCGACGACCTACCAGAGGACACTGAGCAGGACAGAGATGGGAATGGGGAGGAGAATGGTTCTGGGGCATCCATTCGTATTATTCCGCAGGCAGGTCCAGAGTCATTCACTACTCCAGTCGTCGTTCGTAGGTCAGTGAGGAGCAGACGTTCGCCGCAGCGTTACCAACTTTGAATTATATCTTGCTGACAAATAGTGGAGAACCACAAAACTATGAAGAAACCTTAACAGGTGAAAATTCTAGCAAGTGGGAGCTGGTCATAAAGGAAGAGATGGATTCCCTGCTTAAAAATCAGACATGGGAACTATCAGAACTTCCACCGGGGAAAAAGACATTGCACAACAAGTGGGTCTACCGGATAAAGATTGAGCTTAATGGTAGTAAAAGGTATAAGGTCAGACTTGTTGCAAAAGGCTTTCAACAGAAGCATGACATTGATTACTCTGAGATCTTTTCTCCTGTGGTGAAGCTCACAACCATTACGATGATACTGGTTATGGTTGCTATCGAAGACCAATTTCTGGAACAATTAGATGTGAAGACAGCTTTTCTTTATGGAGACCTTGAAGAAGACATTTATATGCGCCAGCCTGAGGGGTTCGTGGTACAAGAAAAAGAAGATTCAGTTTGCAGACTGAAGAAGAACTTATATGGTCTGAAGCATATGGTCTGAAGCAAAGCTCACAGACAGTGGTACAAGAAGTTTGATAAATTTATGCTCAATACAGAGTTCAAGAGATGTCAGACAAACCATACTGATCACTGTTGTTATGTCAAGTACTTTGACCATTCCTATATCATCATGTTGTTGTATGTGAATGATATGCTTATTGCAGGGGCCAGCATTGATGAGATCAATAATCTGAAGAAGCAGATGTCATAGCACTTTACAATGAAGGATTTGGGAGCGACAAAACAAATCATTGGCATGAGGATTGTTAGAGATTGAGTCAAAG